GACCGTGACAGGTTATCAAACAATTAACTCTCTACACGTGTTAAAGGTATAGACAAAGTGTACTTGTGCACTTAAAGCTCATTGCGGGGCCTCTAAGGTGAGTCTTTCCTGGGTTCTTATCTAAGTTCTTGAATCCACTGTTGGTTGGAAAGCCTACTAACACGTTCAAAAGAAACTGAAGTTGCATCTCGCAAAAAGTCTTTAAGTGGTTCCAAACCCTGGTCGTCATGTAACTTATCGTTTCGCACGAAATAAGGTTATTTCACTTCGATAGAAACAGAACTCTTATGCACAACTTTGTCAATAAACAACGCGAAGTCAAAAATTAAGTTGATGACTACCAATCAATTAAAATACTTATGCACAAAAAGGAGCTACAACAATTTCCTAAAATATTACTGGAAATAAGGTATTTAAGTTGGTCATTTATTTATTTATAAATGACAGCTCCTGGTGCTAGATAGAGTCAAAAACTTCGAATACTCGAGCTCTCAATCAGGATTGACCGTAGACATGTTACGTAATATTTTTCAATCGAAAAGGTATTTCTTAACATAAATAAACAAAAACTAGCGCTAACTTGCGTCACGTGGGCAGTGATTACGTGCCCCGTCCCATTGCTCGTAAATAAGTTCACCGCCAGCAGGAGTTTAGAGTGCCTGGATAACTTCTCGTAAAGGGCATTGGCATTATTTTGGAAAATAAAGTCTAAAGGACCCAACAGCAGGTCCGGGTGAAAAGCTTCATTTCGCACAAGCCACGGCGCGTTTGTCATCATGCACAGGAATTTGTGCCGACGCTATTGCAGTGGAGTTGTAGGTCCAGGCAGCAGACGCCTATGCCATTATTAGTTGAGTGTAAGATATATACGCTTGTTTCGGAGAAAAGGTTTGCTCTTGCAGCATAGGTAAAGGGTAAAGCGCCTTAGTTACTGCCTAGACCTTCACTAGTAGGTAGTCCACATGCAGCTGCCAGGAAGTCTGGTGTGGTGCCCATCAAGTATCTCGCTTGAGAACACCACGAAATTTTCACGTCAAGGTCCAATGCGCCAACAAGGGTACGGTCTTCTTTGTAATTAAAAGCGCTTTGCCCCTGGGGGTATTAATAGAAACTTTCCATTACGACACCATTCTTAAAGGGCGTCAAGATAACGCTGTAGAAACTTGCATAGCAAGGCGGGAGGCTTCGACAATGAGTAAATGGTGGTATCATCAGCTTAAGTGCGCTTTCGAATAAGGCAACACCATCATCAAGCAGGACAGGTGACGCGGAAGTGACGGAAACGGCGGGAGCGCGGTTTCTAAAAACTCAGCATAATTGTCCCAGTGGTAAAAAAGCGAGTGAGAAATTATGAGTGTGTCCTTCTCGTTCCCAAATTCGGATAACTGGAAGGAGATAGGAGGACAGCTCGTGGAGCGCTTCAAATGCCGTTGTGAGACGTATATCTTCTAGAACGGCGATATCCAGTAGATCCATAGTGCCTGTCGCCAAGTATCTTGGTCGCTGGTGGCCTAGTATAGACAGCCCGTGCCCATCGACATAGGCCTCTGGGATATGGTCACCTGTTCGGCTGTTCCATGTTGGATGCTTGCAATTAAGATCGACCCACAAAACAGCAGAGAAGTCACTCGCAAAGATGGCGCCCAATTCAGAGGGAGGTGGAACTTTCAAGAAAATTTGTAGAGGGCGATCACAGATGTGTGACCCCGGTCGGCCATACATAGAAAAATTTCCACTGCCTCGACTTTGTAGAGGTGGCAGAAATGCCGAGTGATTTTATATGCTCCGTTTTACCGTGGCGGCCACACACCAGTCGCGTGCATCATTCCAATCTTGGCGATACACGTAACAAAGTTGCACAGGCTAAATGCAACACTAAAAAGGAGATGCGTCTCGTTGATCACACACACCAACTCTTTCACTTTTTAAAAGCTCCTGGAGCTCTTGCTTCTCACTCTGAACACTATTGACATTACAGTACAATAGTCGAATGTAGCGGCGGGCTTTGCTTTAGAAACCGTTGCAAACAGATTCTAGTACCTGTTTCAAACATTCTGAATAAATTCGTCGGTAAAATTGCTAACAGCAATTACACCGGCTGGATTTCAGATGTTGTGTAGTAGGAGCGTGGTCAGAAGCTTTAGGAATTAACGTAGTGGGCGAGTCTTGATGAGCTTTGTCCTCAAACAAAACGAGTTAGAGACCCCCACAGTAACGGTATGTCTGTAGTAAACACCGACGTAGTGGAATTTGCGGTAAGCAGGCAGCCTTCCGAGGATAGAATAGGCAGTCTTAAGGATGAGGTGTGCGCTTCACCCGCAATTTGCACAAGTAGCAGGACTATCTCGTGCTTTCGTGCATTGTCCAATGGCCCGGGCAACAATTAATACATCCGGTGACCGCAGTGCAAAGGTTTACGGTTTGCCCAAAGATCTGAAAACAATGGCACTGGCCAACGCTATTACTCTTCCGAAGTTTTTCCATTCAAATTGAAAGATGAGATAGTCTTGGTTCTATACCTTTTGTCTCTTATTTCTGGGTATAATGTACTAAAACTAGTGGTAACAAACGCTCCTTACGTTCGCCAATGAGGGAGTCTCCTATGTGCTTTGGGGCAACTCGAAATGTATGACGCTTTGAGCGCGCAAAACTTCCTCAACAGTTGCAAGATCAAGTTCACTTCGAAGGCTTTTCCCTCAGGTTGAAGTATTAAATTTCTGAGCTCGCATGATTGCTATTATAGAGCGGAAACCGCTAGCTGTCGTAGAAAATATCTTAAATCCAAGGAGTGTAACTCGATCGTGGGATATTCACACTGTTGGTTTGCAAAGGTTAAATAAGTCACTTTTGTGGTTCGGAGAGAGTAACGGAAGGAATCTATACTTCACTAAATCCTGCTTCAATCGATTTTTCTTAGGAGTAGTGCCAGAAGCACTGCCCATCACAACATCTACGTTATGCTGTAAAGCTTTTACAGAGTTTTCCAAGTTTCCGTTGGTTTCATACTCTCACTGCTCTTATTTAAGCTATTATAAGTTGTATTACCAGCATGATTATTACAAAAATTATGTTTACCGCTACTTACATTATTATAAATACTAATTGTGTGCATGCTCCCGACTATATTATTATGAGAAACGCTATTATGAGAAGCATTAGTTTACTACAACTACTACTATTACTGTTACTAAAACCTACATTACCGTTTTGAGTTTAGTTTTTGTTTGACTCTAAGTTCTCGCTCTTCTAATGTTTCATAAGACTGCGGTTGATCTAGTAATCATAAAACCAAGTAAACATTATTATTAATCATCGTATCAAGAGGATCCTTTCGTCTCTTAGACTTAAATTGTTTTTAGTAATTTTCATGTGCTAATTCAAGTTTAGCTCCTGTTGAGTCTAAATCTCTTCTGAGTTCTTCGTTGGCAGCTAATAAGTTAGTACTCATTGTTTGCAGCTCTTCTCCAGTAGAGGTACTCAGTTTTAAAAACAGGTAGAACATAGATAAATAAAAAGACAAAAGAGGTATACCTATATAATAATAAATAATAAAAAACATTATAATAAGCTTTAACGTCTCTCACCTCTAATAAAAAGTAGTCGGCAAGAGGACTACGCGAAAACCAAAAAACCCCCCCTTGCTTACAATATTCATAATTAAAAAATATATTTGCAATTTTTTAACGTTTTCCTACATCATGTGTATTCATTAAGTTCACGTGCTCCTTTCATTCCTTTTTAAGGAATTGATCCGTCATTTTTTTATTCGATGTTTCTTTCATATTTAATTGGCTTTTATATTTTAACCTTGCAAGTTGGCAGCCACTCTTAGTGACATATGCTTGGCTTCGCATAAATTTAGTTCTTCACAATTATTATTATTGTCTACTGGTCGTTGAGTTAAAATATTAACACATAAAATTGCCTTTGATATTTTTCTTATATTGGGAGGACTTTGTGATTCAGTATGGATGAGGCTGCCATACGAGTTAAAGTTTATTTTTTCAGTGAAGATAGTGACTGGATAAGCCCTGGTTGTGGATACGTTTCTTGTACCTCAAAGCAAATAAAGGAAGAGAATATCCTTTATATAACAGTTATTAATGAAACAGATGGTGTTTAGCTACTTATTTTGAAGTTAATTTTAATTGATTTTAAATTTTATTGTAGGGACAACTCTACTTGATTACGAGATTCAAAGAGCGGATGCTTATAGAGTTCAGCAGGGAACCCTTATAGTGTGGACAGAGACTGATGGTACATTTTCCTTTTTAAAAGCAGGTTTCTGGATGAGGGCTTTTTTTAACATAGAAACTGAAGTAGCGCTCTCCTTTCAAAATCAAGAAGATTGCATTGAAATTTGGAAGAAAATTCGTTCTTACCAGTGTAGAAGTTTAGAACTAGAAATAGATAGTAGAGAATTAAGTGAAGATGTATTACAAGGTGAAGAGAATAATGTAAGCTCTTATTTTACTCCGAGTGAAGCGGAGGATAAGGAGGATGTAGTCAGCTGCACCAGGGGCCGGCCCCTCGATCTAACTTTACCAGATTGTAAATTATTATAATATTCTGTTGTTTTTTTTGATTGCTCTTTATATATATATATATAGGTACTTTAGAGAATCTTCTAACGTATTCAGAATGTTTTAGTAACCCATGGTGGCATTATTTTCCTAAGGCATGTTTATAATAAAATATATCATTGAGAAGATTACTTTTTTTTTACTTATAAAGTTGAAAGAAAGCATTGTCCATCAACTTTTTAAAGGTTCTCTCATTGAGAAATTTATTTGAACTTTTTCATCTTTGCGAAGATTGGAAGATAAGGAAGGGTTAAAGCATCTTTACACTATTTTTAAAGGTTGTTTATTTTCTTTACTTTTTTACTTTAACTTAAAGCTTTTTGTGCTCTCCAGGTCTTATTCTTCTAAACAACACTTCTGTTTTTGAAAAACTTTTTTCTAAAAAGTATATTACTGATTTGATTGGTGTTTTTGAATATGAGCCGAGCAGGGCAAGTTTTTTTAAGGTTTTTATTTTTGAGGTTTTACTTATTCATTAAAATAGACAAGAAAACTCAGCCATCGGGACTTCCTAGCAAACAAGGCTGTTTGGCACGAGGTCATTCCGATGGACAACATTGCTGGTTCGTATAATAGATCATGTTCTTATGGTTTGAATGAACTTGCTTGTCGGGTATAGGCCTGCAGGATTTAATTCACGTGACATTTAGGATCCAGTACTTGAAAGATGTTGTTCTTCCCTGCGCTCTGGACGACCGTCTTTCTACCTTACATTTTATTACTTGCATATTTACAGTTTTAACCTGCTAGAAACCTTTTCCACTATAAACTCGATCATTTTCTTCAATAATATCGAAATTGTGGGTCTTTTACACGCTGACGAGCACTTCTTATCGTCTGTTATCTCGCTGGTGCTATTCTTGCTGGTACACTTCCCGCCGTTGCCATATGCTTATCCCGCATTTCGAGGTAAAAGACAGTAACACGAGCACCAAAAAGCTCGCGGAAGTTTCTGCATTCCTTGTTGAGCTGTGCGGCCTCGCTAAAAACCTCCAAGTTGAGACCCGCCGTCAGTTTTACCGAGTTTAAATTTTTTCATGTTGGCCCCCTTTGCGACCTCCATTAACCTCTTTTTGTACCTTCTTCAGAGTCTTATTGATAAGAACCTATTTACTGTATTCCCCGTTTGCCTGCAAGCACCCGACGTACGGGTCCGGTTGCACTGCCTTGAGCTCGGCGGCCTACTGCTCAGCCAGTACCCGGAGGGCATGGTCAATCACGTGGTGTTTGAAGGCTCTTTACAGGCCAACTTTCTATTGCTCTTTGTGAAGTGTCTCGTGGAAGATCCCGAAGCTGGTGTGAAAACGCACGCTGCGGAGCTTTTGCTGCAGCTACTGGAACCTGAAAACCTCGACGTGCGTGCTTTGCACACATTTCTTTGCTGAATTTGCCTCAATGGTTATATTTTTATAGAGCAATGAGCTTGAGATTCTTCACAACGAGTTTTACGGCGAGCCATTCGATCTGCTTATTAGCCCTTTTGAAAAGCTGAATCGGGAGGACCCCACTGAGCTTCCAAAGTGCCCATCTATTATATATACGCGCCGTAGAAGGGCACTTTGTATACTGCGTTTCCGTAGGGACATAGATACCTGGACGCTGTATAACGTTATAGAGCTGCTCTCGGTGTGCGTCCCCGCGCATGTTTTTGCTGTTCAACGGCTCCTGCTGCACACTTCTCTCATTCCAAACATTGCATCGCTGCTATACACCAGCCACACACACGTCGCCTTAGCCAGTATATATCTGCTTAATTCTTCAGTATTTACCGTGTGGTGGTCATCTTCTCCGTTATTAGGCTTGCGCTTCTTGCGCTCACTTACAAAATTAAACGACGAAGCTTGCAACCGGTTTCTCTTCGAACATTCTATATTCGAGCCGATAGTTGATGTTTTTCAGCGCAACAGAGACAAGTATAACATGCTCAATTCTGCGGTTATAGACTTGTTTTCAATGATCGTTGAGGTTTCTACAGGCCTTTTATGCTGAAAGTATTATACATAATGCTTACCCACAAGGTTAACTTAAAGTCATGTGTCGAACATGTGGTCACCCGGTACGGAAATGTTTTTGAGGGTATCACCTATGCACCCACCTTTCAGAAACTGATTCGCCGCCATCAGCAGAACTGTCAAGTTTATCTCTCGGGTGAAAGCCCCGAAGCGTGAGTGCTTTGTTTCGTAGCTGCCCATTTTTGGGTCTGCTTAACAAATTAATAGCTCTGACAAGTTTTCTGAGCCGCCTGCGAGATCCCTTGAACTCGGCACTGATGTTGAAGAAGAAAAGTGGTTTGAGTTGGAAGATGACGAGGTAGAACGTCCGGACCCAGCTACTCAGGATAACCCTGAGCAGGATTCTCTTGAGACTTTTTCCGACGTCCCGGTTGTCCGGGGTAAAGCCGCGGACGAACTGATCGATGAACTTTTTAGAAAGAGATCTCTTTCGGATTTGGAGGACGAGGAAGATGCTTTGGAACTTTTAGCTGCCAAAAGATTTTCTCCAGTTAAAACTGTAAACAATGTTGAGAGCGCTAAGATTAATAATAAGACTATTGTCGACTGCATTGTTAGTGAAACACAGTTATAATTTTTCAATAATAGCGTTGAAAGCAACGTTATTAGTGTGAAGAAAACATGCTGATGTTTTATGAAGCCGAGTTTTATTCCATTTTATGAAAATTTTAAAGGGAGTCTGGGACATTTTAAGAAATCATAGGCTTGTTTGTAAAATATTAAGAATCCTTAAAAAAAGTTAGAGAAGCGCAGGGAAAGCTTTTTACCTCACGTTTAGCGGTGAATTTGTTTTGGGGTACTAAATATTTGGACATCACGTCCACAAATAAACTAAAAATATACCTATATTTATTGATGCTTATTTATGAAACTTAAGAATACATTTTGTTAAGTATGTAAGGCCTTTTATGCCATGCAAACGTTGTAAGGCTACATCCCCTGGTTATTTTTTTTTAATATGGCTATTTTAAAAACTATACGTTACTTATTGGTTATTTTTAGACCGCGGTCTGAAACGCCTCTAACACGAGCACTTTCATCGTTGTAACGTGGCCTGAGCTCTTTAGGAGCACAATGAGTAAGAAAGGGCGGAGCTTTTAAGTACTGACTCATCTCCACTGTATCCAAATTATAACAAATAGGTGAGGCACTAAAAGTCTGTGTTCAGCTATCTGCTTGGTGGTATACACTTTTATACAGTTGTATTATGAAAACGCACTATTTTTTGTAAGAAGTTAAAGAATACCTTTTAGTGCTTTGTGAGATAAACAAATTTTTAAAAATCAAGTTGTAAGATAAATTAAAGTGTAGCGAGAATATAAAGCTATTTATAAAAGAATAAAAATTTGAGCTAATAAAAAAGATCAAAACTAGCTGCTAATGAATAATTTGAGAATTTATACTTTTTTCTTTTACAAATGCTAGGCTTTAAGAAAGCTGATAACTAACTTTTTTTGACGTTTAGACCAGAAGGTTTACAGTGCAGGTCCTTATTGAACTGTGTTGAGACAAGAAAAAAATAGGACGAGTGGTTATTTTATAATATATTAATACAATAGTCTAAGATGTTAATTTTTCACCTCTTTCAAAACTAATTCTTAATAAAGCCTTCATTATTGTTTAAATGGTACTTTCAACTAACACAATAAATTAGTGATGGCTAGTGATTATAGACTGTCTTTGAAAATAAAGTTTTTTAATATAATTTACCAGCTTTCTGCTGGTAAATAGTAATTCTCTATTTACTGTAATCCGTCAAAAATATACCTTAGATTTCATAAAGCACTTCTTTACCCAAAGTACTCTTATCTTATGTGCCAGCTTTGCCCATACAAGGTGTTGTGTACACATCGCTAACTAAAACTCTGCCGTATCCTCATGATATCCTCAGTAATTTCGTATTGTTCGCATCTCTTACTGCTTTTATGGCTTTTTTATCGTTTCAAGTATATAGGGTTCCTCTTAGGGTTTATCCTAGTTGACAATGCCAGATTTTGTTTCGCAATACTTTCGGTAACTTCTTCTCTTTACGTGAAATAAAGAAAAAAAGTATGTACTGAGCTTTTATATTGTTACCCTCTTTGTGTTTACCGACTTTGATTATCAATTTCTCTTTGTCCCTAGGTCTAAGCATATTTTTCAACGCTTTAACGCTTACACACACACCCCCCTCCTCCTCCTTTTTTTTTTTTGACTTTTATGAGTTACATTTTGCTAACACAACCCCTTTTTTCTTTCCAGATGTTCTTTTTGTATTAACACATAGTAACCCTACAAGTCCAGTTTAACGTGTTCTCCTCGGCAAGGCTTGAACCGGCCAGGATTAAATCGCTCTGGGCTTTACTAAACTCTAGTAAAAATACTCCATCTTCTTGAGTTCTTAACTCCTCGAACAAAGACCTCTTTATCACGGAAAAATTCTCAGTCTTTAATATAACTTATTCAGACTTTAAGCTATGATAGGAAGGGAAAAAGACTAAAATTGATGTTGAAGTGCTTTATACACCTTAAAAAAACGATGTTGAAGCTGGTGCACGCGTTACATATAAATTTATACTAATTATTAGTGCTACCAACTGAAGATAGAGTGCGCGCTTTTTTTTTAGTTAAAAAATATTACATCCTCTTTGCTTATGCATAAAAACACTGTTCTTAGAAATCCACATTTCACTCTACTTAAATATTAGGAGTCAGGAAGTGCTAGCAGCAAGTGCACGGCATGTGAGTTTTAATATAATCTTACCCTCCTTGAAGGCGTGCAGAATGGCGCAGTTATGACTTGCTATGGGTGCCAGAGTATTGTGTTTCCGAACCACCAGGCGACCTTATAATGGAGGCAGAGCCCAACGATATTTAGAGTGATACATTAAGCAGGGTATAGAAAAATAGAATGTGCGAGCCAAAATTCCTGTGTAGAATTGTTTATGGTCCTTATATTGTCCCAACAAACCAACTTTATTAGTGTTGCAATATTGGAATTTTCTGTCACCGGTAAGTGCCAGCTTAGCGAAGCGGGGATACTAGGAAGGACATTGCGCAAGTAAACAATAATTTTAGAATCTCGGTACTTGTTATTGGTAAAAACTAACTAAGGAACTATAAATACTTAAGTACAAAAAATTTTGTAAATTTCTATAGCAAATTTATCAAGCCAAAATAAGGTTTAAAAATGTTAAAAAATAAATAATTTTTTGAACATCCCCGAATGCTCGAACTCTGTCGTTGCTAACTATCATGAATCCTTATTCTACCATGTGCTACTCTTCCACATGCTCTTGCCACGTGCTCGTACTCAAATATGTAACCGACAATAAAACATCGGAAGGACAGTGTAACCTTCCAGAAACGAATACATCCAACTGTCCAACCCACTCAAAATTGCAACCCAATTAAAAATTTTAACGCTAAGCGAAATTCAGATATAACAGTAGAGAAGAAGAAATATCCTACAGTTAAATCGCTCCCAAAATAGCACAATCTCAGGAAAGGGCCAATAAGAAAAGCCACGGAAGTTAGACTTAACACCAGTGGGGGCAAAAATAATCTGAAACCTTCGCTCCACTAATTAATAGTCCGACTCTTCTCTACGATTATAATGATAGACTATATTGTAGCATCTGAAAAAATGTTGAAAGAAATTTTCTGGGCTTAACCAGGGCTCAGCTTAACAAATTAAATAAAATACAGAGGGGCTTCCTCTTTTGGTGGTGGTTTTTTAGCGATTTTTACCACTCTTACT